GAGCGGCATTGCAGCAAAGTGGTCAAAACGGTATCAAATGTGAAGAAATCGTCGTTTGGGCTGATTTTGGGGCAGCCACTGCGTCCAATCTAAGGTGGCTAATCGCTCTCCCTCAACGGGTGGGTGGTCTTTGGGCCTTCCTTTAGAACACCTTTGTTACGGAGTGCGATTAGCCGGCTTAGATTGGGAGCGGCATTGCAGCAAAGTTGGTCGAAACGGTATCAAATGTGAAAAAATCGTCGTTTGGGCTGACTTTGGGCAGCCACTGCGTCCAATCTAAGGTGGCTAATCGCTCCCCCTCAACGGGGTTGGTTTTTGGGGCCCTTTCCTCTAGAACACCTTTGTTACGGACTGTGATTAGCCGCCTTAGTTTTGGAGCTATCGCAGCAAAGTGGATCTAAATGATAAAATTTTACTGTAACCAAATATACCGTATAATACAGTAAAATACCGTATTTTACCGTTATTTACGTAACTTTGAATCTCACCGGTATTTTTCATCCCTAACCATGTCCTCACAGTGCCCCGCCAGACACCCGTCCTGGAAGGTCCTGGAAGCGCCACCAAGTCACCGCTTTTCCTGCGCGTCTTTGCAGACCAGTTTGCTACTCGCCACCTATCATCCGCCCCTTACCAGTCACCCTCCCTCTATCCCGCCTTTCACCAATCACATTCCCATTCCGGTCACCTGCCCTTCACCAGTCACCCTCGCTTCACCAGTCACACCATTCCTTCACTCACCAGTCACTCTCCCTTCACCAGTCACCCTCCCTTCACCAGTCACCCTCCCTTCACCAGCTTCAACCCTTCACCCACCCACACGCGCGCGCACACACACACGCTCACTCTCCGCCTGCATGCCCCCGCCCCGCTTCCTTGCGGTGACTTGATCCCCTTGTGCTGCTAGCTGCCCCTTGCTGTCCGGCGGGCTGTCCGGCGGGCTGTCCGGCGCGCGTCGGCCCTCGCTGTGATTGGCGGTGGCGGACAGAAAGCCGGCCAATCGGATTCGATGAAGCTCGTTGCCGCCCCCGCAGTAAAGCCCAGCCAAGCCCCGTCGGCCGCCAGCCTGCGCCAGCCGACCAGTGGCCGCGCGAGCCCTTAATCCTTCGGCGGGGCCGGGGCCTAGCCGCTAGGCCCACCATCTTCGGCTCACTCGCGAAAAACGTTTTCCTCGTCCGCAGGGGATTTTTGCCTGCTTCAGCGTGGCAGCACTGTAGCATGTCCTGTTGTGCGCGGTGCCGTGGCTCCAGCGCCGCTCCAGCTCGCTCCAGCGCCGGGGCCGCGGCCGCGAATCTTTCCATGTTGATGACACATAAATGAATAGCCGGATAACAAATGACTGGGCTCCCCTCCCTCCGCTCGGCCTTGCTGGGCTTGCTAGGCCGTGCCCTCCGTCTCCGACAGTGCGAGCGAGCGCGAGGCATCACCGCCAGACTGATCCCAAGTCGCTCTGTCTCTCTCGCACCTATACGGGACGCCCCATTAGTGCGAGAGAGATGGAGCATCGAAAGCGACGGGCCTCACAAAACAGGCTCCGGTCCTTGCGACTTGTTTCGCCACCCGTTCAGACACTCCCCCTCCCCTCCCCTCCCCCTCCCCTCCCCAGCACGCCGCGCTCTCAATAAGTAACAAGTACCGCGGGATGAAAAGAGCAGCAGACTGATTCCGAGAGTCGTCTTCGTAGCGCTGTCTCTCTCGCACCCACACGGGACGCCCCATGAGTGCGAGAGAGACAGAGCGACGAAGGCGACTCTCGGAGCCAGTCTGCAGCTTTCTGCAGCGGTGCCCGGGTGTCGTCCTCGAACCTCCGAACCGTCTCTCCTCCGTCTCGGTTTTCGATTGGCAGTGGCGTCGCGCGTCAAAGTTTCGGCATCTCGGCGTTTCGGCTCGCGCTGCTGACTGATGCCGAGGGTCGTTTTCGTCTCTCTCGCTCCCATTAGGAACGTCCAATGAGCGCGAAAGAGACCGAGCATTTGAAACAACTCTCGGGATCCAGCTCTAGCGCCAGCTTCCACCCCTTGGCCGTGGCCGAGGCGTGGCGTTGCATGGCGTGGCGTGGCATGGCGTGGCGTGGCGTGGCGTGGCGTGGCATGGCGTGGCGTGGCGTGGCGTGGCGTGGCGTGGCGTGGCGTCCCCAGGAGACACGACCGTGCTTTTCCTTTCCCTTTGTCGCAAACTCGCTGGTTAATTAGACGGCACTAATTTTTGTTGACGAACCGCCGCCGCCACTCCGTGCCACTCCCTGCCACGCATGCGTCCTCGCTTCTCGTGTGGGGCAGGGAAGGGGTGGCCGACCCGACCTAAGGCAGCCAGGCCCTGCACTGTAGACTGATTCCGAGAGTCGGTTTCTCGCGCACCTAGTGGCGACGCCCCTTGAGTGCGAGAGAGACAGAGCGACGAAAACGAGTCCTAGACAGTCTGCTATGGAACCGAACGTGTGACCCCACCAATGGATTGCTCTCCGATCGAGGAATCCATTGGTGGGGGTCACACACGTTCAGTTCGAGTCCCATTTAGCGACTCTGCTGGACCTCAAAACGCGTCCAGAGTCTTGGCCGGCGGCGCCGGTCTTCTGGCCCACTGTTGGGCGACGGTTTCGAACGGCTGCCTAGCGTGAAAAGTGCCATCGACGCCGTTTGACCCAAGACGGGGACGTCGGGGACGGGCGAGCCGCCGAGGGGAGAGGGATGCTGTGGGCGCCGGGCTGCGCGCTGAGCCGCGTTGAGCGGTGCTGGCCTCACCATGCCCATTCCCCGACCGCCCTCCGACCGCCAAGCACTGCGTCAGCATGTCCTTGTCGTCCTCGTCGTCCTCGCCGTCCTCGTGTGGGGCCGCGGCCGCGATACACCCCATGTGCAAAGAGCGCGGGGCGGGGCGGGGCTGAGGGGTTGCGAGGGTGCAGAGAGGGCGAGGGCTGTAGACTGATTCCGAGAGTCGTTCTCGTCGCTCTGTCTCTCTCGCACCTATACGAGACGCCCCATGAGTGCGAGAGAGACAGAGCGACGAAGACGACTCTCGGAATCGCTGGCCCATGGGCTGGCCGTGGCGCCCGGCAGAGGGCCAGAGCCAAACGGCCAACCGGCCTGCCGGTCCAGCAAACCACACCTCGCGTCACACAATCAGATTGCAAATCAAGCTAGATAGGATTTTTCATGTTTTCAAGACTGCCCAATTTTTTTTGCGATCGCCATCAGCGGTTTCTTTCTTTTTGGCACCGCGCAGGGCGTCCATATTCAAAAAATGAGGGGGAGGTTGCTTGCTATTTGCCTTTGATGTCTGTAGTGTATGTTGTTTTTATTGGCATGTTGTTGGTTGTTGTGGTTGTGTTGTTGTTGTGGACGTCTGTTGCATGATGTTGAGGATTGAGGCTAGAGTGAATCCAGAATTGTGGAAGCGGTCAACGTTGCAGAGTGCCGTGCCAAACAAGATAGACGTGGTCAAATCCGTCCGGGTCGCACAAGGGCTGCTCAGAAGAGGTGGAAATCACGCGCGTACTAGTCGGGCACCGTGTGTTAGTTTAGCGTAAAAATATGATAATAGACATGATAATAAGCATGAATTGTTTAATAAATTTTTATTTAGAAGTCCGAATTTTATGTATGAACTGAAGTATTGTTCGGTAGGCGTAATAAGCTTCGTACATCACAAAGCACGTAATAGGTGATTAGTAAAACGTCATCAATTTTTTTGCTTAAGAATGATTACCCCGGCTGCAAATCAGATGCATATGGTTCCCACTATTGCAACTGGTGTTGGGGGCTTCCGCCTTTGGTCAAGTGATCGCATCAAGGGGTACTTAATGTTGGAATCGGGCGACGCACTAAGATGATGGACCTGGCCCGACCTCAATCCGGCCGCATTTTTACAATTTGGCCAGATCGGTATCTCCAAAAACGGGGGTCACTTTTCGGACTTAAAAATCTTATGATCTAGGGACTTGTCAGGGATTGGTCTTATGCAAGATTGGAACAGGGTCGGTAAAGGGGGTCCAGGAGCCCGACTTCGTCTATTAGTCCATCAGGATCTTGAAAAAAGGGGGTCGACCGACTGAAAATTTTCTTAAGTTTTGGATAGGTCTTGGCAAGACCTTTAACGAGGGGTCGGAAGGGGGGTCCAGGAGCCGCCTTTCTAGAAACTGAAGAGTGCATGGCATGCTCCTCCTAGGAGTCAACCACAAAGCACACTCTTTCCCCAAAAGCATGCTTGCAAGCACACTCTTCCCAGGAGCATGCTTGGCAAGCACGCTCTTCCCGGGAGCATGCTTGCAAGCAAGGAGAGTGCTTGAAAGCATGCTCCTGGGAAAGGTGCTTGCAAGCATGCTCTTGGGGAAAAGTGTGCTTGCAAGCATGCTCTTGGGAAGAGTGTGCTTTGTGGTTGACTCCTAGGAGGAGCATGCCATGCACTCTCTTCAGTTTCTAGAGTTCATGAGTTATGGGAAAAAGTGCGACGGACTCGTTTTGCGCTCCTGCTGTGCCTCTATTGCAAGGAGTTGCAGTAGCATGGCAAATATGGGTATTTTCGGAATGAGGGCGAAGAGACAAATGAAATAGGCATATTCTAAGGACAGTTGGAGTAAAAAGTGTAAGGACTATTGCATATTGTGAATAGAAGGGCGGGCCTAAGTCACGATGGTACATCGATAACTTTGCTTTACCCGCTCACGGTGTAGTGTGTGATGCGAGCGGGCCGAAGGCCCGGGCCTTCGACTGGCCAAGTTGGGTCTGAAGCGAGGGCCGAAGGCCCGAGAAAAGGCCGCCGGCAGGCCAAGCTGGGCCGGCCCCCTGTCGAACCGAGTTGCCGGCGCAGCGAAGCGGAGCTGGCAACTCGGTTCGACGGAAGGGCGGGCCCTAGCTTGTTTGTTTTTTTTGTTTGCAGCTTTTGTCGTCGTTGTTGTTGTCAGTGGCGTGCGCATAAATTTCAAAAAAGGGGGGAGGGAAGTCGTGTTGTTTGCCTACCTTTGCTCTGAATGTCCTGTCCAGTGTCAATCTTTTTTTATTGAAAAAGGGGGGGGGGGCATGCCTCTTGGCCTTCCCCCTGTGCATACCACTGTTGTGGTTGTTCTTGTTCTTGTTGTTGACGTTCTTGTTGCGATGTGTTGCAGGTTCCGCACGTGCCTGAAGGTCGCCGGCAACGGTCCCGCCAATCTTGTGGGCAAGCTGTTCTTCAACGTGGTGCAGACCAAGTGCTTCGTGCTCAAGCCCAAGAAGACGTGCCTCAAGACGTCGTGGTGGGGCAAGTGCATCAAGTGGCAGGTCAAGAAGCAAGCGCACCTCAGAGACAACACGCCGTACTAGGCGCGCCCGCGTGTGTTTATGTGTGTTGTGCGTGAATGAATGAATGAATGAATGAATGAATGAATGAATGAATGAATGAATGAATGAATGAATGAATGAATGAATGAATTTTGAAATGTATGAACTGTAAAGTTATTGTAAAGTAAGCGCTGGTGTAAAGTATGAATAGATCTTTCAGTGACAGTCCAACAAACACGTGAATAGTCCGTGATTCGAAAGTCAAAAGCCAAAAAATTCAATTTTTTCTGGTTGAAAAAAATATTACTAATGAAATCAGAATGATATTCCCCTGTAAGCGATTCTCGTGTTTGTTTGGGAGCCGCTTCACGTTCCTTTGTCGTCAAGTTGATCGCATCAACGGAAAACTTTAACCAAAATGTTGAAATTGGTCCCCCGCACTGAGAGAGGCAACCCCCGTCAACTCCCCAGCAAATTTTTCTAGTTTCACTCGGATGCTGTATTCTCCCTTAACGGAAGCTTCACTTTTCTGAGTAGGGTGTCTTAGAAATCTTGATGGATCTGGGACTCTGTGCAGGGGTTGTAGTTTTCTTAGTGTGAGGGACCACTGCTTAGTCAAATTGTAAATATTTGTAATTATGTAATTTAGTGAGTGAATGTGAGTGTTGGAACGACGCATTTCGGGATAAGTTGCTGAAGATAAATCTCTCATCAAATGAATTCGCGTGTTCGACACCCACAGAGGTTTTGCCCTGTGCGCCTGGAAGATAGGCCAACCCGGTTCACAAGGCTTGGTTCACAGCACAGCCTACCCCTTCATTACTATGGCGCTCTGGGTGCCTCTAAAGAAGTTTTATTTCGAAGTCAGTGAAATGAGATCCCAATTTATGTCCAACATGAGCAAGAGGGTATCGACGAAGATGCCTTAGTGGAGCTCGCATTCACTTCAAATTTTTACAGTCCACTTTGGAGGCGAAACTACCATGGATTTTGGTATGGTCGGAGAATGGGGAATAATAAGTCAGTATTATGATGGGTTGTAAGCTCTGTAAGTAGAAATGTCTATTTGTGTATTTGGACTTACGGTTGAAATGACAATAATAGTGGAAAGAAGCGGGTAGATATCGTTAAGTATGACGAGATGAGCTTGCAGCCCTGTGTGTAGGTTGAATAATTTATCAATGAGAAGAACCCGTGTGTGTATTGTGTGTATATATAGCTTAAGATAGAGTCACACGTAGAAAAGAAAATCCCGCCGAGTACCGAGGGACACGGTACGTCGATTCCACGTCGAGCGGACGTCGCTTCGACTGCCATTTCCCATTCTGGTCGAGATTTTGATCGCTTTGCTGTAATGAAGGTGTTGATTGTCAGAACGCAGAGCGTGGAATCATTCACGGAGAAAATCGCTCTGCGATTGAGATGTGGTTGTATCAATGTTTTGTTACTTAATTACAATTGTTACCATCGAAGACCGATTAAAAAAAAACTGTACTTCACCTGTTCCTGTTCGTGCTTCGAATGCGAAGTATGTGCAGGGAGGAAAGGGGTAATTTTATATTAATTCAAAGGGCATTTCTGTCAAGCAGCGCTTGAGTAGTTTCTGAGACACAGATACACAAGGCCACTTCACGCTCCACACCCATTTCTCTCTTTTTTGTGTTAATTTTTTTTTTTTAGTTTGATTTGAAGCCTGTTTGGCTGCTACCGAATGATTTTTCCCACGCATGTTCTTGCTTGGCAGCCTTGTGTCCTCTGGTCCTCTGGTCTCAGAGCTGCCAGCCCGTCGGGGAAGTCCACTACCATGATTGCGAAGGCCCGGCAATGACCGCGCCGCATGGTTAGCGTGCCCGAGGGTGGAAAGCGGTGGTAAGCTCGCTGAAAATGTGATAGGGAAGGAAGAGTGGTCGTGGGTCAACCCTCCTTCTACATAATAATATATTTATGGTTAAAGAAGTTGTTAAGTATTACTTTGCATCGTTGCCAAAATCCCAAATGTCTAATTATTTATGGTTGTTATTTGTAATATTATTTGTAATTATCTAAGTTTCCCAAACATGTTGCAACAGTACAATGCCTCCTATGATCTTTTGTTTTTGGTCAGAGTGCAAAGTGTTTTCTAGATCCGGGATCGTCTTGTTTGCAATCGTAAACAGACTTTTGTATTGTAAAAAAATATAAAAATAAATATGAAACAAATATGGCTTCTTCTTTCTTTTAAAGTTCCTCTACTAAAGTTGCAGGTGGGAGAAATTAAATATAAGAAATGAAAAAGAAGAATAACCAGTACCAAGAGAAAGTGTAAATATTTTATTTCATTGCATGGAGTTTAAATAATTATATCACTGTCCCAAGGATTTACTGTAAGAGTCATTTCACAACAGCTGCACCTCAAAGAAAAACAATGAGGGGACCTTTAGGGTTAAAACTGACAGCTGCACTTTTTGAGCAAGGCAAAACTAAACATTACAGACATGCAATATGAACAACACACTTGCACAATTATTGTATCACATCTTACAAAATAACCATCAGGGTTATTTTTCGCTGTTTAACTGTCTGAAAACCAAATCTTTGATTTAGTAAAGACACGGTACTCATTCTAAACTGTGTTTAAATGCATATTGTTATCCTTTCTTTTATGATGATAAAAAATACACCACTGTCACTTTCACACAAAATGCCAAACTGAAATAAGGGATTCTGTAAGAATGTTTGATTTCAAACACTTGAATGCCCCTCAAATTAAAAATAATAATAAAGCTATGCTTGTGTTGCAAGCATCTACAGTAGTTCAACTTTGTTTCATATCTAATAATTATTACCAATAAAATATTATACTAATCAATCAGCTGTCAACAGTACAAAAATTAATTTAAATTGATTCTGCTTCAAAGGATGACATCTAGAGTAAATATTAGCCTAGTACATTGATTTTTGCTAGAATACTTTTAATTTCTATCTCTGAACAGAATAAGTAAAAGAATTTATTTACAAGAAGGAAGATATACATTCAGTGCTCGTCATAGAGCGGTGTCGCGTCTCCTGTACTTTCAACCATAGACTCTGGAGATGCTATGGTTCGGGGAGTGGATCTGGCAGATACTGAGCCGTGAGGTGACGCGCGAGGGTGACCATAGCCCACTGCTGGGCTGGAACGGGGAGTTCCACTTCTGCTGAAGTGGCCACTGCTACCCGGAGGCCTCGAGGTTTTGTAGCCAGAACGACTCCTGAAATGCAGAGACAGACTAAGAGGCGTACGAGGAGAGCACCTTGGCTCAAAATGCAGCATACTGGTGTACATAACAAGGCAACAGCATGTGTCAAAAATTAAAACTTACGATTCACTACGGGGAGTTCCATTCATGTCCATATCGTAATGCGGAGTGCCTGACTTGCTTCCTCCACCAGGAACGTATGGACTCCCTGACACTGAGCCCCTTGGAGTGCCATCGTATCGTGGTGTGGTCGATCTTCTGCCATCATCAAAGCGAGGAGTGCCCTGACTAAATTGCAAAATAAAAAGTTGAAGATAACACATCAACGACACAACCCAAAAGGCACCATTGAAACAGTTGTAAAATTGATTGCAGACTTACCCTTGCCTAGGTGTCACAGATCCTGGTTGCTGCTGCCGCATCCATTGCTCAGCCTTCTTCTTCCAGTCTGAAGGGTCTCCACCCTGCTGCTGCATTCCTCGACCTCCAGCACTCATACTAGAGGCAAACCACCAACAATCATTACTATTCGAAGAAAGAATTAAAAAACAAAACATGGGACAGACTTGATTCCATACCTGCCGTGGGCCGAGTGCGAAGAAGGCGGGTGTCTGGAGTGTGAGCCAGGGTGGGCCGAGTGTGAGCCGGGGTGGGCAGCAAGGGAACCAGGGTGCGCTGATAGCGACCCTGGGTGTCCCGAGTGGGAGCCAGGGGTGGGAGTCGGGGCCGGCCTGTGCGATGGAGTGCGGTGCGAGGGCGTCACCGACCCGGGGTGAAGGAAGCCCTGCGTCGCTTGGGACGGAGTGGGTTGCCCATACCGCGGAGTCTGGGTCGAGTGGTGCGGCGTGGCGTAAGGCGTCATGAAGGGCGTCTGCCCAGAAGGAGTGTAAGGCTGTCGAAGAAACAGGCTCAGTTAATAATATTATAAGCTAGCATTTTGAAAATCAAGAATCAACCCTAGTGAAACGATAAAAGATAAATATAGAATATATTTACTCGTTTCACTAAATGAATGATGCACTCACAGTGTTGGGGTAAGCATGCACACTGGCACCATAAACACCAGGAGTCTGTGAGTAGTGTGGCGTTTGTGTCGCCACCTGGGACAAGCTGTGCAGCATGTGTGTGGGTAGATTTTGAGCGACTCTCTGAATAGCAGGATCAATATCTAAAAGAGAAATGGTTTTAGTTTTAGAGCTCAATTGAAACCAGGTGCTCTTGACAATGATAACCATGTTAGATTCTGGCACAAAACACTCACTCGCCATGCTGAGGCTAGGGGTGGCAGGATAAGGTGTTCGGCTGGTCATTCCTCCACGTGGTGTGCTGGGAGTGCTACCAGGGATAGGGTCTCTAAAGTGTTCTTTGAACCACTTGAAGAGGGCATTTAAATTATCAAATATTTGTTGCCTAAAGCGGAATCCTTCTGGTGTCACAGTGACATATTCATGCCTGCACCGACTCAGCATGTAAGACAACATGAACTTTCCTGGAAGTGACTGGAAAGAAATAGAAAGAAAAAACAAAGTTAGAAAATGTATGGTGAAGTACGTAGGGTAACTCAGGTCATTTTCCAAACAATATTTAGAATGTGCTAGATGTTTCAAGAATAACAAAATTTTTAACTCACTTGTGAAGCTGAAATTACATAGTGAATTTTGCCAGGGTTTCTACGTTTTTCTTCCTTTAATATTTCTTCAGCCTTATCTTTTTTGCCACCCATAGTTTCCTTGTAATATTTAAAACTTAATAAATCACGAGCATGAGAAGCCATGGGACTAACATGCCTAGCGATAATTTCGTCCAGGTCTTCGAATTCGTCTCCACCAATCCACAGAGACTGTCCAAGCGAGAAGGAATTTTCTTTCTTTTCCTCTCTTACATCGATATGTTGGTAAATATTGTCAGCTACTTTCCATGTGACAGTAAGATGATCTGATCCCTGAAAACACAAATACACGAAGAAAGATAAGACAAATAAATTTGGAGAAGGATATCCAACAAATGAATAAGATAAGATATATTCATTGATGATACCTTGCTAGATGGTCGGACAATACATTCCCCTTGATCAAGATTAGCCATGAGTTTCTCAGCTTCCTTGAAAGAAATGTTGTGGAAAGAAGGATGAACAATAACACGCTTTATGTAGGCATGTTGTTGCTTCATCTTTTTCGCTTCTTCCTCAGTCTTTTTATCCTTGGCTTCTTTTTCTTTATCATAATATGGATCTAGAGCAGGTCTTCAAGAGAGAACAAGAAATGGAGGATTAAAATAAAGACAAAATTAAAGGCAGCCAAGTATTTGAAGAAGCACACGTACCTCCATTCATGATTTGTATCCATCAAATCCGAAGTTTTAGATGTACATTCAACTGAGAACCTTGTAACATCTATTTTTGTAATTCGGCAGTGAATGATTTGATTGTGCTTTACTCTTTCTTCAGGATTGCTAACGTGTTTGTCTGACAGATTCTTAATGTGAATATAACCCTGAATGCCATTATCAAGACGCAACTTGACACCAGTTGCCTTTCCAGGACAGGTTTCAGCATCAAAATGATTCCAAACCTCAGACAGCTCAGGGAAGTCATTTTTCAAACAGAAAGGACACTGCCATAAGCCCGTTTCATCATTTCTTACTGGATTTGCATTATCCAGCTGTTCATGTTGTGGCTTCCGGTGTTGTATTCCCATGACAGTTGCAAGAATCATTTTACCAATATAAAATGTCTCAGGGCTTTCTTTAGTTAGGATGTCAAAGACTTCTTCAGGGTTAGGTGAAGAGAATGGTGTACGCATATCCTTGTATCTATGATTCAGTTCATTCCTTATGTCATATAAAGTTATGCTCTTGTTACCAAACCCTTGTCTTTCTAATTCTTCAGCAAAGGCATCAAGATCAAGATCCTTTAACCTTTCTGGTGATTCTAAAATTTCTTCTAATGCTCCAGCAGGGTTGGCATCCTCATCATCGTACTCAAGTGCATCCACTGCCATTTTTCTAGCCCACTCATAAGCCTCTGGGTGCACTCTAGATCCGTCAAGAACTTCAACATAGGCTTCAGTGCTAAAAATAGAAATAGGGATAAGACCTACAGACAAAGATTTTCACAGAGCACAGCAAAAGAAATTTTGAAGTCCATATCTTACCTGTCTCCAAGAGAATTTGTGTCAATGCGAATGAATCCAGCACAGTTGATGAAAACCTTAGGTCCCATATGACATGCTGTAACCAACTGAGTTCTATTTTCAAGACGTTGATTGGTTTGTTTTAACAATTTTATGAGAGCAGCTCCTTTTCGAGGACCAAGACCACAAACAAATTGCACAAGATTAGCTGTTTGCCCGGTCTGGACAGCAACATTAATATCGACGCCCACTTCATTAGTCCTATTGACGAACTCCAAATAGAGTGCCTCTAATAAGTCATCCTTAACCTGGTCCTGATGATAAAACAGACAACTTAGCATTGCAGAAACACAAAAACACACAACAAGTTCTAGATGTAAGATGAGTTCATTAGCCAGCATAGCATACCTGTAGAGGATGAAATCGTAGGCACAAGATTTCTTCATCAGTTGTGCAGAGTTGAGAATATTCAGTAAGAGGATCTTGTAAACGTCGAGCAAGAGAAATAGCTTGTCGAAGTTGGAGAGGGTAGTCTCTAAATTCATTCTGTAAAATGTAAAATTGTGTTAAATTAGTCATTTTTTTGACACTTAGAATAATTGTGTTGATAAAATCATTTTAAAACCAAAGAATTATGAAACCATGAACCCTCACCTGTGCTTTAATTGAATTGGCATAAATTTTGGCAAGATCATTATCCACTATTTCTACATTTATTGTGGGGAATTGGTCATCTTCTATTAAGTCCTTTACAACATTTTTTAGATCTTGCACCACCATAAGAGCATCCCTACTTTCACCACCAACAGCAATAACATGAGGTTTCTTTGTTGAGATAAAATTACGTAAAGCTGTAAGGTCGGCCTCCTGCAATGCATAAAGTAAATTAGAAATAATATAAAGAAATAGGTGCAATACCGAATAAGAGTGAGTGTGGACAAACACTACCAAGGTAGTTTACCTTTTGAAGTTTATCACCTTCTCTAAAACCATTGAGTCTTTTTAATAAGCTAGGTAAACGTAAATAATCAGTGACTTCCCCATCTGGAGCTACCATACATGCAAACGCAGCTTGAGAAAAATCAGGCTCATATGCAACACCCATTACACGTAGGCCCTTGGACGTGTCCCATTCATCTTCATCTTCATCGGGGAAATCAACACTGTAAGGAGCAATCTAAAACAGACAACAAACATTTGTTTTGGTAAAAAATTATTTAAATGTAATACAAACTAAATACGAACTTTCTGAAATACCTTGATCCAATTGTACAAACGGCGACAGCAAGCACGCAGCACACAGTCTTTAGCTTCATTTAAGAGAAGACTTTTCAGTTCTTTTCTCAAATCTGGTATCAACATTTTGCGCAAAGCAAGTTCAACACATTCGACCCTCACATTATTCCACTCCTGAACATGCTTACTAAACTCATCCTGAAATAAAAGAAAAACAAAAAAAATTTTACAGTCCACTTCCAGTCTGAAATATTCCAAGTAGTGTAAAGACCACAACATAATAAGTTGTGGTCTGAGGTATCAGAAGAACAAAACATGCAGAAACAGTGAAACATACCCTGAGGTAGAGCTGCTTAGCTTCTTCAATAAAGGAGCTACTGGTTAAACCCTCTATTTGGTCAGAGAATGATATTGTGATATTTTTTTCTTCCTCTGCCATGACAAGCTTCAAAAACTGCTCGTTAGACAAATCACGCACAGGCTTTCCTTTCAGATATTTCATACTATAGATAGGATGGTACTCATCAATCTCCTTGATTCCTTTTTTGGTTGGCAAGACATCTATCTTAGAACGCTCAAAGAGAGCTTCCCTAACACATTTTCTGACCAAAGGTTCTCGGGATAATTGTGCGGCAACCATGTACTTGACAGCCTTCAGAGCCTCATCAGCATTTGAGAATTGACTGGAAAGGAAAAATGAATGAGTACAGAAATTCAATGTCTGACAGGGAAAACACAACAAATGTAATATACAATGTAATAAAGAGCACTTACGCAGAAAGATATTCCTTAGCTAATGCTAGTGGTTCTATGGACTCCTGCTCCACCTCATGACGCTGATAGTTGTCGCGTAAATTTTCAGCAAACTGCTCAGGAGTAAGACCAAATCTTTTGGCAAAGCCTGCTAGGCGTGCCTTACGGCACATGCTGTAAGGACCAGACCTCACGGCTTGCTTCACTTGCTCTTGAGGGGCCTCCTCTTCTTCCTCATCTTCGTCTTCAGGGTCAACATCATCATCCTCGGCATCTTCATCAGTGACTTCCTCCTCCTCCCCATCCTCATTGATGATGGTCTTTTTCTTGCGCCGCTCACGCCGATTGCGTCGGGCCCTTTGCTGCCGCTCTAGCTTCTCCTTCGCCTTGAAAGCCTCCTGCATGGCTGGGACTTCATGTGCATAATAGAGGAGAAAGTGCATATGCACATCTCTCAGCTCTTCTGGAGTCTGAACACCCATGACTCTGCAAAGGAGCAAGAATTCAGCAAAAATTTAGAAGACAGCAGCAAGTATGAGAGTCTGATCTGAGTACAAATTTGGTTTAAACACTTACCGAAAAATATCCTCATCGGTAAGCACTCGTACATCTTCTGGAATATCAGCATTATTATCTTTCATAAGTTGCTCACCTTGATAATCTCGCATCTTCTCAAATAATTTTATTAGTGTTTGTTTGCGAGCTAGTAACTGACACCACTGTAAATTTCAATATTTGGTTATTAGCCATTTTTTGGTTATTGCCATATTTTAGGTCCTTAAATTCAGTTCAGTTTCTGAAATGTCTGTTACCTTTTCATCGTATTTGTAAACCTTCCATAAATCACTCAAAGTCAGTTCTGGTGACACATACTCCTTACGGTAAAATGCAATAAAAGGAACTTCTAAACTTTGGTTGCGCATAAAATCTAAGGCTTTCTTTATTTTATACACAGTGGAAGTAGGTTCTTTTCTTGTGTTTTCTTTATCTGTACCAGCTCCCTGCTGTATGGGACAAACAGGTGTGTTTTAAAATCTAACAATAAAAAGTATATTACAAACACTTTGAATCCCAACTGAATTTCAAACCTGAGTTGACACTGTAGGTTTGCAGAAAGCATGCTTGTAAATCCATTCTGCTTCCTCTTCTAGTTTCTCATCAGTTTCAGGTGTGATAGGAGTATCCCGCAGTTGCATTCTTTCGGGGATATCAGTGTTACGGATCTATACAAGCCAAAATATTCCAATTAGTGGGAGAATATGCAACGAAATTTTGAAGATAGAAATAACACTTACCTGGTTATCCAAATCAGTAAAGTGACCCCTTTTGAGTTCACTGGGCTCATAAATCTCAAAAATGGATTTCTTGGAAGCCTTTTTTGATGCTTTCTTCTTGGCTTTTCTCCTAGAAATTGGATGGATAAAAAATTTAATATAGATCTGGCTTCAAAATTTGCCTTAAGGCAGTGTGAAGCTACCATACCTCCTTCCCCCTTCTTCCTCATCCTGATAGTCTTCATCTTCTTCATATTCTTCCTCCTCCTGGTCATACTTATCAAACTCATCATAATCAAAATCAACGCCAAAAATATCTTGAGCTTGTTGTAAAGCACTGAAATTCAATCAAACATGTTGACACAGGAAAAAGAAATTTGACCACTCTACACAGTTCCATGAAAGGGACAAATACTCACTGATCAGTGAAAATTGGTTTTCGTTTACGTTGTTTATCCCTGATAGGACGTCCTTCATCATCAACAATAAAATCATCTGCATCAGAATAATCATCTCCTTCTTCGTCACCCTCTTCATCAAAATCCCCTACAGTATCATCACGGCGCTCTGATGAACGGTCTTCCTCCTGCAAGATTAATGTGAGTCATGAATGATCCAGTTGCAGCAGATGGACTGTATTAAGACAAAACCCCATCTATACTTTGAAATAAATGGCTTGAAATGAACCAAGCAAATTGAAGCAAATTTGAAATCTACAAAAATGAGATAGAAAAAAAGGAATGCTGATACTAACCCTGTCTTCCTGCTCCTGGTGCCAGATGAACAAAACAACGAGTTTAGAGAAATTTCACACCACGTAAGGACAAACCCAATACAATAGATGACACACAAAACAAGGCAGAATGAGAAATCAAAGCTTCACTGCACAAACAAAACTTTAGTAGCGTTAGGTAGTTTTCAGTGAATGGCCTAACACAAATATAGAAAGAGGACACAGATTGAGGAGAAGTAGCTTCCTTAAATGTTCACAATAAGAAAATGTTATAGAGCAGACAAGAAAAGCATCAACACACAATTGTTTTCCTGTTGAACTAACGAGCAACTCACATGATCAGATCCTTCAAAAAGCTCATTGGCAACAGCATCTCTTTCATCACCTCGATCTTCTTCCTGCTCATCATCAGATTCTTCTGCTTGTATTCTTTTTAAGCGTTTAAAGCGCTTCTAAACATTAAAGAAAGAAAAAGAAAAAATACATTAGATAACACAAAGTATAAAAACAGAAAATAATTAAAAAACGTGAATTGGGTAGTGTTTATCTTACTGTTCTTGCCACTTTAACACCCAAGTTTTCTTCAAGCAAATCATAATCTTCATCTTCCAACCTATCATCAAGTTCATCTTCTTCATCATCACTTTTCTTTCTTTTCTTAGACCCTCCGGATGCGTCACTTTCATCCCCACTTTCCTCAATGGGATTGTCGTCAATCAGATCCTTAATATCTTCGCCATCCCCATCTGCGAAGGAGAAGAGGAAAATGAAACAACCATTTAAAGAAACACACATAAAACACATGCAAATCAGGGATTGGAGCTCTAACGGATCAACCTCATCAGGCACCAAAAAACTTATCATAACAATTGACGAGTCTCATTGGTAACATTCCAAGAAACTACAAGTCTATTGGATCAGATTTGCGCAGTGATGGTAATCATTGGTTCACCAGGAAAATTTGCAAGAAATCAGTGATAATCAAAAGTCATAGTTACCATCATCCTCTTCATCATCATCGCTGTCGATGGCTTTCCTTTTAGATGTTTTCTTTTCAAACTCCTCATCCTGTGAGAATGAAAAAATATGTTACACAAAACGAAGTTTCAGCACGAAGTAGAAAGCCAAGCAAAAACCAAAAGAACAGGAGAAACTCACTTCACTCTCCTCGGCTTCTGAATCAAGAAAGTCCGACATTTCAGCTTCTGGGAAGAAAGGAACACAAATGAAGGTTAAACAACAAACATTTGAGAGAGAACAGACATCTTGGACACAGAGTACCCATGAATGAACGGCGTACTTGCTCTGAGTCAACGAACGAGGGATGCTAACTAGTAAATGCCTACTGCGACATTAATAAGCATGCAAAATACAGAGGCAAACTAGCCGACATATTCTTTTATTCAGATCGTCGTTACTTTTCAAGTGACGTAAACATGACTCTTGTTGAGGTTATGACAAGATGCTTGCGGACAAAGATGCAAACCAAAGTTCGGACAAATTGAGAAGGAGTATAAACTCAGAACATGTGGCAGGCGGAATGACCAATGGCACTGAAAAACGTATTTTACTTGACACAAAGTAAACAATTTGGCTCTGTTCAACGGCGGACCTGTAAATTACTCGCAGCGGCTTAGTCTGGCCGCTGTTCGGTCGGTGTCCTTGCGTTCTCCAAGTGTCGTATAGAACAACGCCTTTTCGCGATGATGCAGGAAGAAAAGTTTCTTTTATTTTGATTGTTCGAACCGAGTAATATTCCTGAAATCTACCTCAAAATGTTGAAAGTAAGAAGGGCTTGCTAGGGATTTTCGCTTTTTGCCTCTTCTCTTCCGACCGCCGACAGACTATTCGAGAATCGATTCAACTCGATTCTGAATATCGAGTTTCTTTTTGATTTTTGTTTTCTCCCCAAATTATTTTCCGAGAGTTTAAAATGAATCTCAGGGTTTCATTGTATTTTTGAAAATCAAGCCAACAATTCTACTTCAAAAGATTGCTTTTTCCTGTTCCGACAGGCAAAAGCTTTTTTTTTTAACGAATCGATATTTATTTACTTTCTTCTTTTTACACCGACTTTTTCTTTTTTTCTTCCGACTTCTCGAAGCGTTTCCGGAAAGCAGGAAAGCGTCGTCCAAGGCGTCGGCGTCCATTTTTCTCACCAAGGAATCTTGTTTGCCGGCGTTCTTTTCCTACCAAGTTGTAAAACGCGTTTATCTTACATCCCTGAGGCGTGGGACTACGCCTTTCCTCCTCGTCTGTGATACGCAGTCTCTCGTATCTTGCAAAATGTCGTTCAACACCAGGTCCGGACGAGGTAAGAGCCTAAAGTCACCAGTCAGTTAATCTTTGTTTTGAAGCGCATTCGCTCCATCTTTCTCGTCAAATCTGCGGCCAACTATGAGTCTCACGGAAAGACTGCAGCCCTTCGTGAAACGGAGCTTCAGTTTTTTCCGTGAGCCGACAGCTCTCATGCTTTCTTCCGTGCTTGCTCTCTGCTCTACCAACGCTACCCAAAGCCTTCATGAATTCTTTGTTGGTTTATTTACATATTTCTTTATTATCAGGACGTGGTCTCCAGCAGACTCAAGTAACATATCATCAAACTCCGCCAAGAATGCAACCGACCCCGTCACCTTATCAAAGTCCGTATCTTCAACACCAACTGCCTCCGTTCAACCCAGCTCCAGGACCAGTGTCTCCAGCTCCGGCCCAGCCTGCACCTCCGGGAGTCGTCCCGCAGCCACTACCAGTGCCGACCCAAGACCAGCAGCCACAGGTGAGGGCACGCCTAAAAAGTCTTAGAGTGTGTTACGTGCCCTGCAGTTACATCTGTACCCAGTTGTAGGCATCAGTTGTTATAAGTACACTGTATGAGTCTTAATGCTTCTTACCGTAAACTGGGGCAACTGTGGACACCTGGCGTAATTTTGGACAGGCTCCCCTGTTGGCCAGCTTTGAAATCTTACTTAGTCAGAAGTTACCCCCAACCATGAGGTAACTTCTGATGGGGATGGCGTGGAAAGAATTCCATTCAGGCTGACAGGGGGAGCCTGTCCGAAATTACCCCAGTGGACCGTACATTGTGATCCATTTTTGTGGTTTGCTACCATTAACATTTTTGAAGCTCTGTATATCAGAGGATTCTTCATTTGTTCTCAAAGGATCCTTTCTCAATTTCCTAGTTTAGCTAAGATCATCTAGTCCTATATTACCCTAGTTGTATAGTGAAGTTTCTCTTACAATAATTCTATTGCCCTCTGTAGGACACAAGCTTTGAGTGGCTGATCTACTATGCTCTTGGTCCGACTCAGTTCATATCCCCTGTATCTAGGTACAAAGGTTTCGCCTTCCAAATATCAGTGCTGAGATAAGAACATTGTAGCACTTGTGGTGAACCTGTGATCAGTAATTAACATTCTCTCAGTACTGTTCACACATCATTGCCACAGTGATAAATGTTCTCATACAGTACAACGAAATATGGCGAATCCTACAACCAAGTCTTGAACATCTCACACCTTCTTTTGCCAGACAACTTGAACCAATTTGAAGTTTTAGAAATGGTTTTCATATACTCTTAAATCAGTGGCTAATTTAATGGGGAATTTTTTCTTTGTACATGCTGTTGCTTTGAGATCATCTCTGTGGGTTTTCTCTTAAGTTTTGGTTGTCTGAGGCTAGAAGGTGCCGAGGGTTGGGGCACAAGTGGGTCTTGCCTGGAGCTAGTTTATGACTGGTGGTAGTGAGGCTTACGCCCTCTCGTCCCCTTGTCTGTCGGCTAGTTCAAGACGATGCAGATTACCAAAATGGAGAGCGGATCACCACCTGGATCACCATCTCAACTGGCAGAAAAGGAACCCACGGAGACCAGGCCGTGGAAGAAGACAAAGAATCCCTCATGTAAGACTCCTCTGATTTCATTATAGCTTTAAAAATTGGCATTGTATTTACCTAAATATTTTTTTCCCCCTCTTAGTGAAGGTCAACAAGGTTCTTAAACGTCGTCGTTTGAATGCCAGATTTAGGAAAATTCTTTTCCCCAAAAATGCCATTATGGTTCTAAATGAGCTTCAGCCTGGTGTTCAGTTTGAAGGAAGTGAGTCAACTAATGCTTTCAGCCAGACCTCCTATAGTGTCAAGATTGAAGTAAGTGCTTGTAACTTATCACAATTTTGCTGATGTTTCACATTTAGTCGACTTGTATTGAATGTCATGCCTTTTATGTTGGTTCTGTGTAGATTGATGGAGTGAAATACACTGGTGAAGGTTCGACCAAAGCATCTGCAAAGGCTGCTGCAGCTGAACTGGCTGTTAAGGGTATAATTCTCAAGAAAATTGCCGAGAGTGCAAAGAAAGACGGTGAGTATGTGAAGTTGTCTCCTCCAACACATTTCAGACAATAATATTAACTGCGTGTCCCAATTTGAGGCATTTCTCATTGGAGGTGGCTGAGACTGGATATGAAGCCTCTTCTCAAATCAGGATTTTATGAAATCACTGATATACCAAATCCATATTCACATAATAAAAATTTTAACTTTGGAACAAGTCCTCTTTCAAGCAATTTGCTTAAGCCTACGGTTGTCACAGATTCAAATTGGAGTCTGCATTACACATCATGTGCAGTTGTGATTGTTTCAAATTGGCTTGGATTATTTTCTTAGTAGCCGTCAATAGTTATGTTGTTGTGTCTAATACAGTACATTTCTGCTCTCCTTCAGCTGTTCCTGTTGAAGAGGAACCCATGGAGACTGCAAGTGGTGATGGTGATGATGTGTCAGAGAAGGGTTCTCTTAATGGCGGTAGAAAAGTGATTCCTGAAGATGAGGTTCCATGGAGCAGTCTTGCATCATTTGCTTTGTTTAAACTTTTTGCTGAGTGGAAGACACAGGGTTCAGTTATTCCACCTGTCGTTTCTCTACCCTCCGGCAAATCTGCTAACAAAAATTCTGTTAGTATTCAATTTATTGTGTATTTTTTGATGTCAGGGTATCACTTTTATTGCATTATTAACGTTGGTGGCTTGTTTGACTCAGAACCCCCGAAATAAACCACCTGGCCCTGCTGCTGCTACCGCCATTGCAGCAGGGACTGCAGCTAATGCAACTTACGTTGCTCTTCCTGCTTCTGCTGGAGGCGGTGTTGCTGCTTCACTCGTCAAAGCCGTGCCAGAGAATGCAGAGACGCTTCACCCTGTAACCCTGGTTGGGCGTTTATTCCCTGGAACTGCATTTACTGAGGTGTCTAGAGTTGGTACCCCTCCCCATTTGACGTTTACAATGGGTGTTAATGTGAATGGTATCGCATATGAAGGAGTTGGTAAGTGTCACTTATCAGGGAACTTGGCTTCCTCTTGGAAGACTTCCAGAGCTTTCAATGCTTTCCATGATGTTCCAGGTAAAAATAAGAAGGAAGCCAAAAAGCAGTGTGCCATGGAAGTCCTAAGGGCAGCAGGTGTTCCATTCAACCCTAACTAAAGTATCAGATTGGAGGAAGGAAGTCATCTGAAATGAAGCAGAATTACTCTAGTACTATAGCTCTTACTTAGTTTTCCATGTCATTTTATTGCTTTATCTTGCAACTGCAGGCAAATTTATGACAAAATGAAACTTGATCTCTTGAGTTTGCCCATATGTTTTTAAAAAATCTGGTTTAATGTTAGCTTGTATGTGTACATTACCAAGTAATGTAGAATTTTCAAATGTAATGAATCCCGGACCTTTACTTGAACGGTTGTATTCAGTTAGGAAGGCCAGAGGCCTCTTGTTTTTATTTGTGTACTTTGCTCAGAATTGGAGTAAATCTGTTCAGTTATGTTTACTTTGACCATTGAAACTTGTTTAGTCTTCTTTACAATTACTTTTTCTTTTTATTTAATCTGTGAAATGTTTCTTTTGACTCCATAAGCTTAATATCAGTAAAGCCAAGAGGCCTCTTGTTTTTATTTGTTTACCTAGCTCAGAATTTGAGTAAATCTGTTAAATTATGTTAACTTTGACCATTGAAATTTGTTTACAGTTTTGTGTACAATTTCTTTTTGTGTTTTTTATTTTATCTGTGAAATGTTTCTTCTGACTCCATGAGCTTAACATCAGTACAATCATGATTTTCCAATATTTTACTACTACTAATGGCTCCACAGTTTTTAACCTGCTGGTGAAAATCAGAAATTCATTTTAATTTGTGTGTAACTTTTGAATCATGATAGATGGTGTTGTGTGAATTATAATTCGAGCTTAAACAGTTGGCTTTATTATACCGTCTCCAATTATTCACTCCAAGCAATGCATTTCCACCATAAGATCCCTAAGAACACACTTTACAAATGGCTTGTCCCAACCTGGATAGGGAGACGCTCGACTACAGGGTCTTTTCGTGTCTGGTAGAGAGAGACAGTGAAACTCAAACTCGCCCTGATATTCGGCGAGGGGCAGCTGCACCGTGCAACGCAACGCCCCCCCCCCCTCTTTTCCCCTCACCCGCCGCATCCCCGCGCAGCCCACGCGAAATGGGATGTGAGGGGAGATAACTATGCCAGCAGCAGCTTCCAGTCCCGCTTTTCAGAAAAGTTAATGAAATCCCGGCCAGCTTCATTCAGTGTCGGGCCTTTTCCATTAGGCCCATCACACCGCAGAGACCGCGGACCGTTCCGCTCTCGTTTCGATGACTGCTAACAATACTCACTACAATCGGGGAGGGGCGGATGTCCCCGGACGTGCGCGCGACATTTCCTGCTCAGAGTGTACTCGCTGGTTTCCTCCCTGGCGGCTGAGCCACAAAAAGCCAAGGAGATAACGCCAGCTTGGACTGTTTCCGAGGATCGTTTTCGTCGCTCTGCCTCTCTCCCACCTGTACTAAACGCCCCATGAGTGCGAGAGAGACAGATACGCGAAAACGACTCCGAATCAGTCTGCTGGCCATCGAGGAATGTATGATTAACTTCAGGCATGAATAACGTCCGAGGGGTTACCCACTCGATACTTGGGCGTACACACGATTCCGGATTCCCGCGATTCCTGAACAACTTGATAATGAGAGGTTTTTGAAGATTTTCTTAGCTTTGAGTGTTTTGTGTAGCTTTTAAGTGTTTTGTGTACGCTTTTTAGCGTTGTGTAGCTTTTGAGTGTTTGTGCCTATTACAGATCCCTCTCCTTGAAACTTAAGATTTTCGATAAAATTTTGGGCAAATTACGAACGATTCCCGGACTGAGTGTATACACGATTCCCGGAGTGGGTAACCCCTCGATAACGTCGCGTTTCTCGGGAAGGCGCGTCACGTCTGATGGTGGTTGATTTGTGTCCGAACGAATGAAATGTCACCATCCTCACTTACCAAGTACATCGATCGATAACTGCTAGAATCAAAGATGTTTTAAAGTGGGATAGCGCCTGGCAGGTAGGCCACCTTTTGGCCCAGAGCACACACGTGTGTGAAGGGTGGCCTACCCTGCTGCAACCGGGCGGCTGCCGCCACCAACCCAACAGCCACGTGCGGCGAGCTGCAGTCTGATTCCGAGGGTCGTTTTCGTCCCTGTCTCTTCCACACCTATACGGGACGACCCATGAGTGCGAGAGAGACAGAGCGACGAAAACGACTCTCGGAATCAGTCTGCATCATCGTTTGAGTCTGCGGCGGCGAGGCCGGCCTCGTTCGTGCCGCCCCCTGCTGAAAGCAGACAAGTGCGTGGCGCGTGGTGTGGGTGGCGGTGGCGGGTGGCCAAAGCAACCAGAGTGGGATGATTCAGCGACCGCCGGAAACAAGACGACAATAACCGCAACTTGGACCGTTCGTCGAGACTGGCCCGAGGATGGTTCCGAACTGTGCTTTCGCCGCTCTGTCTCTCTCGCTTTCATGGGGTGGCCCGACTGGGTGCGAGAGAGACAGAGCGACGAAACGACGAGAGGCTTGGGAGACGGCAGGGCGGCGGAGAGACCGGCGCGGCACGTGACTTTATTGGCGGGGGCGTTGTGCGTCTGCCCGCCCGCCTCGCCCTGCCCCGCCTACACTGCAAAGACACGAGGAAAAAGAAAAAAATAGCGTTCGAAGCAAAACACGGACGCACAAATCGTTTTGTCCCTCTCTCAAGATTTTCATTTGATTGCAGTTACGAAGTTGCTTTGCCGTCACGGGTCCAGGCAGGCCGTGCGGCGTGGCGCGCTGTCTGCTCGATCTGTATTGCTCCAACTTTTTATTGCCTGATTGCCGATAAAGTTGGCGGGCTGCTTTGCGAGCGCCGCCTAGTCGCCTAGTGGGGGTCCGGCCGGCCGGGGCGAGGGCAGGCACGGTGTCGCGGACGAACAGTGTCCCGGACACACCTCGTCCACGGGACTAAGGATCCCAGTGTCCTCGTCCAGCCGGGCTGATCGGGCCAGTGCCAGATCCAGAAGGCGGCTTGCGGCTGGCACAGTGGGCCAGAAGACCGGCGGAGGCGGCCAAAATTCTGAACGCGTTTTGAGCTCTAGTGGTGTCACTACATGGGAATCGAAAGGAACGTGTGACCCCATCAATGGATTGCTCTCCGAACCAGTAATCCATTGGTGGGGTCACACGTTCGGTTCGAGTCCCATTCAGCGACTCTGGAGCTCAAAACGCGTCTAGAGTTTTGGCCGTGTGCGCGGTGCCGGGCGTGCCGCGTGCTGCGTGGCGGGTTGCCGTGCGGCTTGACGGCCTCTACACTGCAAATCCGGTGGTAAGTTTACTTGCCACAAATTTGGCAAGCCGTTTTGAATGCCAAACTTTGGCAAGCTTTAGTCGGAAAAATTCATAAGCTTGCCAAATTTTGGCAAGCTTGGAGGACTTTCCGGGCCAAGCTTGCCAAATTTTGGCATTCAAAACGGCTTGCCAAATTTGTGGCAAGTAAACTTACCACCGGATTCGCAGTGTAGGCGGTGCAGCACGAGCGGTGTGTTCCGTTCCGGGCCGAGGGAATTCCTGCACCAGCAATGTGCGGCACGCTCTGTGGATGGCCGGGCTCTTGGCCTTGCTCTTGGCCGGGCTCTTGGCCGGGCCCGCGGCAGACCGGCCGCAAGCAGCCGCCGGCCTGGGGCGGCCCGGGGCCTCGTCGGGGCTCGTTGGGGCCTTCAAGATCCTTAGCGCCTGCCCCCTCCCCCACCCCCTCTCCGTTTTGCTGCATTCCTCCGTCCGGCGAACCTTCCAGCCTCCTCGACGCGGCGAGGACCGCGACTAAACGAAATTCCAGATTTTAGTGGTCTGCGAGTCAAGCCTCGGGTGCAGCCGCGAGCAGTCAGGGCCGCGACCGAGACGCGCGCAGCTCGCAGTTTGGTTCCGAGAGTCGTTTTCGTCGCTGTCTTTCTCGCACCCGGGAGAAGTCGCAGAGCGACAAGCACAGTTCGGATTCGAAATGCAGGAAACACCGCGAAGAAGAAAATGGCGCGGTGTGCGAGGCCGTGGAGGCCGCCGTGGAGGCCGCCGTGGAGGCCGCCGTGGAGGCCGCCGTGGAGGCCGCCGTGGAGGCCGCCGTGGAGGCCGCCGTGGAGGCCGCCGTGGAGGCCGCCGTGGAGGCCGCCGTGGAGGCCGCCGTGGAGGTCGCCGTGGAGGCCGCCGTGGAGGCCGCCGTGGAGGCCGCCGTGGAGGCCGCCGTGGAGGCCGCCGTGGAGGCCGCCGTGGAGGCCGCCGTGGAGGCCGCCGTGGAGGCCGCCGTGGAGGCCGCCGTGGAGGCCACCGTAGAGGCCGCCGTGGAGACCGCCGTGGAGGCCGCCGTGGAGGCCGCCGAGGAGGCCGTGCCGCACGGTGGCCCTGGAGGCTGTGGTGGCCATGAACGCCGTGGAGGCCGTCGTGGCCCTAGGGTTCTTGAAAGCCCTAGAGTTCTTGGAGGCCCTAGAGGCCGCGGTGGCGGTGGAGGCCGTCAGGCAGGGGGGCTACAGTGTGGGGGCGGCCGGTCCGCGGCGCGGCGGCTTGCACGGCGGCACGGACGCCGGCGTGGAGGACGAGGCCGCGATGGCGGCTGGTGCGGATGGTGCGGATGGGGGATAAGGGATAGAGAGCGAACTCAGCGCGCCGACGGCAAAGACGGGAAATAGATTGAAGCGTGATACGCCGAGAGATGGGATCTAGACACGTCTCTCGACTCAAGAAGCGGCGCGGTCGGGGGGCGGGCGGGGGCGCTTGAAGAATAAACGACCTATTGTCAGAACGGGATTTGAACCCGGGGCCCGCGCCGCCCAACCCCACCCCAGCCCGCTCCGCCCCGCGCCGCCGCTCCACACCTTTGTGCGTGGTGTGTGCGCTCCCAAATTGGACAGAAATTGCATTTGGTGCGGCCTCAATTGTTAACTAGCGGTGCAGCGCCTGGCCACGGCTGCCACGGCCTGGCAGCGCCCGGCAGCGCCCGCACTGTAATAGCTCGCACCGCGTTCGGCCGTGTCACGAATGGAAACTAAAACGCGTTTCGGCGGATCTGTGTTTTCGAGAATTGGAGCTCGGAGCGAGTGGCCATCGGACAGAACAACCTTAACGCCCTTGCACCCTACGGCCGCTGAAGTATCGAACATACTTTACTGCACGTGACTGAAGTGTGAGTACAATGCAACTCGTCTATGCTACCCTAAGCCCCTGCCCCTGCTCGAGGAGCACGGCACAGTGGACCAAACCGGTGGAGGCGGACAAACTCTAGACGCGTTTTGAGCTCCAGGGTCGCTAAACAGGACTCGAACCGAGCGTGTGACCCCACCAATGGATTCCTCGTTCAGGGAGCAATCCATTGGTGGGGTCACACGTTCGGTTCGAGACCCATCTAGCTACTCTGGAGCTCAAAACGCGTCCGGGATTTTGACCGTCTCCGCCGGTCTTCTGGCCCACTGTGCGAGGCTGCAAGGGCTCCAGTCCAGTGTAACCCAGCCGAACCTGGCCTAGGCGGTGGCAAGGCGAGGCGAGGCTGTGGAAACGCCGCCGGTCGGACCGAATCCCCCTTCCGATAAATCAGCGCGAGGTGAGGCGAGGCACGCCGAGGCACGCCTTCGCAGCCCCGCGCAGCCCCACGACTGTTTCCGTATGGCCACGCCACGCCCTGGGCACGCCCTCCCCACACCCGCAGACTGATTCCGAGAGTCGTCGCTCTGTCTCTCTCGCACCCATACGGGGCGCCCCAAGAGTGCGAGAGAGACAGAGCGATTCTCAGTCTGCAGCAGCAGGCCGCCAGCGCCGTGCACTGGTACACGTTCCCGGCCGACAGCCGATCATACTCGTGTCCCGGGAGCCCCGCCTTGCTACGCCGTGCTACGCCGTGCGGGGATGGA